ATTACTGGACTCTTAAATTAACGAAGGAATGTTTTTACTCTTCACTTATTTTTTGCTTAATATGTATGTATAATTTGTTCTTTTATCTGATACCAATACACATTTCAATTACCTTATTCCCTTAGTTAAACTGAATTTGATTTTTTACAAATGTGGCAACATTTCTACGTATCGTTTGGAAGTAAAGCATTTTCAGAACCATTTCAATTGATACCCAATATCTAATTCAACTTTTTAAATAATTTAAATAAAATTTGTAACAGATGGCAACTCGTTTCAAAAAAATAAAACTTTATCGCACATCTACGGGCCAAGCCCTGTTATTTGACACCTCTCCTTTTAAAATAGAGCGAACTATATGTACATACGTATGTAAATGCTACAAGTACCAAAATTTTCAAACTGCATTTACAGTGGAAGTATAAAGTTATCTTAAAACCAATTGCATTTTTGAATTCAGCGCTCCCAAGTTGATTACGAAACAAATTTTCATTCAAATGTGTCCACAATCCTATTTTTGCCCACATTTTATATGAAAGGGAGGCACTGTGCGTCGTTTGAAGGAACAAAATTACTTACCGGAAAATCACTTTCTTTTTTAACAAAAACGAGCCTACAATATTTTATGTATATCTTTGAAGGTCTTTGGGAGACTTTGGCAGGACGGGAATATACCCCATAACTTCCAGTTTGTCGATAAATTTCGATAAGTTGATATTTATTGATAATTCAATGAATTGCAAAAAAAATAAAATCCGCACAACTTGTTGGATGCAATAAGATGGATGGATGAGTATACTAAATTTATATTTCTAAGACATCTATTAAAAAATAACTAAAAGTGCCTGTAAATAGTAAATTTATGCGAGCACCAGTGTTCAAATTAAATCTTTGTTATAAAATATACATAAATGAAATAATCGCTTCTAGTTAGATGACAGGCGTCGTAGGCATGCTGTTAGGTTGATCTGTTACGTCAGTAGTTCTGCTGAACTAACAAGTTCGGTTCAATGTACTCTTTCTGGCGATACTCGTGTAGTACACTATTTGTGATTTCTGATTGCCTGTGCATACTCTCCCTCACAATTCCGCATTTCGAACGATCGGTGCTTGAGAAGGTCGACAAAATGGGCGGAGGTAGCATATGGTACTTAATTGTTGCTAATAAACAAAAGCTAGTGTCAGATATTATTCTAGCTTGTCGGAGACATTGTTTAATTATACAAATAATTAAAGTTCAATGAACTCATAGCGGGAAGTACTGAGTACACTGAAAAAATTCGACTGTGTATGCTTTGCAGGCGTTAGAAAATTTTAGAGCGAAAGTTATGAAAAAAACGCTCTGCTTCAAATTCGAAATACGCAGTACTTCCGTTTTATAAGTGTTAGGGCAAATACTCTGTTATAGTTTCTCTTAAATACTCTCATTTGTATTGTTTTTTTGTGTGTAACAGTACGTAAACTATACCAATTTCTTTTTAGTATTACTTTGTTTAGGCTTTAGACCTTCCCAAAAAATTGAAATATTGAAATAATTCTATATATTATTAAACGTGCAATATAGTGCATAAAGTAAACAGAAAATTAGGGTTGGCAAAATCATCCACATTGTTAAATGAGAAAAATTCTAAGATGTGGTAGATTTTTTACTTCAGGTGGTGGATGTAGTAGAAATGCAATTTGCATTCTTTTTAATTTTTAGAAACTTATTTTTTGACTTCTTAAGATTTTGTTGTTTTGAAAAGATTTTTTTTCATTCAATTTATTTTTAAGGATCAAATTTTGTTTATTTTTTTTTAATTTTTTCTATTAATCTTAGATTTTGTTAAAAAAACACATTTCTTTAATTTTATTTAATTTTTAAAAATATTTTTATTTATTTTTGCCCTATTTTAATTTTATTTTTTTTTTATTTTACCTTTTTTACTAGTTTATATAGTTTTGAAAAATATATACTATATATTTTTATACCTTTCATGAGCATGAAATGGTATTATAACTTTGGTCCGATGTTTGTAAGTACCAGAATAAAAAGAGATAGACCCATTAAAATGTATACTTATATGATCAGAGCGTCGAGCTGAGTCGATTTAGCCATGTCCGTCTGTCCGTCTGTTTGTATGCAATCTAGTCTCTCAGTTTTCGAGATATCCGGATAAAATTTTATAGAAGGGTGTATTTTTATAATGTATTAATCATTTGTCGGAACCGGAAGAATCGGACCACTATAACATATAGCACCCATACAACTGATTGTTCAGATATGAGATTTTTCGTTATAACTTCTCCATTTATGCAGCTAGGAACATGAAATTTTGCAATACTTGCACCCATTATCAACAGAATACTTACAGTGAAAATTACAAAGATCGGGTCACTATAACCTATAGCTCCCATATAACTGATTGTTCAGATATGAGGTCTTTTATCATAACTCCTCCATTTATGCAGCTAGGAACATGAAATTTCGCGCTGTTTTCACTCATTATTAACAGAATACTTACAGTGAAAATAACAAGGATCGGGTGACTATAACATACATATATGTATCTTCCATACATCTGATTGTTCAGATATGGGATTTTACTGTAAAACATTATTTGAATAGCTAAAACCGATAAATTTGTAAGATATTTTATAAATAATAATACAAAGTCTACTGAGAAAATCGTCAAAATCTATGCTGTATAAGCCTTATCTCGTATACCACTGATTGTTCAGATACCAGTTTTTGCGATATATCTCCTTTATGTAGGAAACTAAACCCAGTAAATTGTGTTACCGGTAATTAGATTTAAAAAAAAAGTATAGTCTGTTGCTGCTTTCTAGTTTTTCTCTCAGCGTAGCTATTGTTAATGGTCTGCTTATATTTTTCATGACCAACCTCAAACAAAACTAATAACAGCCTTGATTTCTTGAATAATCTCTCTTGTACATACTACATATAATAAGTATGTACATCATACATATACATATGCATACAAACTTACTTATAAGCACATATTTGCATATAATCTCTGAATGTATAGACATACATATGTATGTATGTATGTATGTATGTATGTATAGTATATAGATATAGTGCATATCAGCTATGACTCCATTTTCACTTTCGATTTCATTAAATCTAGGAAGTATCATACACGCATGTGAACAGGCAATCATCATCCAACAGCAGGGCCCTAAAAAACCCTGACCAAGTCATTATGACATGCCGGTGCTTCCATTTCCATAGTGTGATCTCAGCATTTAGCGCCATTGGCAGTAACTACACACACACACTTACAAATGAAAGCGTCGCGGATCTGATTAAATTTGCGCTTTTTTTTTTACCCAAAACGCACGTTTCGGGTGCTCTGTTTCGCTTTTAATGAATGTTTGTATGTATGTACACGTACACACTGAAGCAACAGTCGCCATCGGTAGTTGAGATAAATACATATATGTATGCATATTTCATACAATATTCACATACATACATATGTACTTACATATGGTTTTATGTATGTACATACAATGTGAATTTAAGTGGACGTGTGCTTTGTGGCGGCGGGCAACAACATTACCGAAGCAAATGATCGTTTACGTTGTCGGACAAGCACTCAATGTGGCGTTTTTGGCGTTGACCCAGTTTTCGAAATGACCTGCTTTCTCTTCAAGTTTAATGTGGTTCTCTTTTTGTTTGGTGATATGTATGTACATATTTGGGAAATTTTACTTCCCTTTAAACAACGCTATCGATGTTAAAGACTGCCTTCTGATTCAGCTTCCCTTAGAAGGAAACAAATTATTATTTTCATCATCAGTGGAACAAACAGTTTTAGTAATTGAGTCATCAAATATAGAGTCTGCTTGTGGTCTTATTACTAATTCAAATTTTAGTTTTACTATGCAACCTTTTTAACCGCAATTTTACCGTTGTAGTAGACACGCAACGATGCGTCTACTGTGAGTTTTTTTTTTCTTTTACTTGACTTTCGAAGCCATGGAAACCCACCTTCTCGTCTGCATTCGAATAGCAGCGCTATTAAAAGATCATCTAAATAATAAAGCATCCAAAGAGAAGGTCTTATTGAAAAATCCTTTCCTGAAGGCATTTATTTAGAAACGCTCCTCATTTTTTCGGCGTGGGCCAAAAATCCGCTTTTTAGAATTTTATTGGTAATAGCAAACATATGATTCATTATGCTCTAAAAACAATCTGTGCGAAAGATGACAATTTTTGGTCAATATCCTGGACTCGCCCAAGTCCATTAAAGTTCAATGTGCTCAAAAAGTAAAAATTAATAAATACATTAATTAATATAATAAGATATTGACCGAGAATTGTCATCTTTCACACAGATTGTTTTTAGAGCATATTGAACCATATATTTGCTATTACCAATAACCGATCAAAATTCTAAAAAAAGCAGATTTTCGGCCTACGCTACTGAATATGTATACAAATATGTTCGTAAAGATAAAAATTTTAAGAAAAAAAAAAAACAAAAACACCTTTGTCTCGGTGTATATTATTAATGGCATGCCTTTACGAATCCTCTCACACATACATACATATGTACATATTATCAACAATATTCATTTACACTCGCCTTCAAAGTTGTTCGTCTGCAGTTTTAATTTGCAATGCGATTCCGCATATCCGATGTATAATATTGCTGACAATCAATTAACGTAATTGAAGTGTCCACGGCTGGGCTGTGCGTGGCGCCACATGTCGGTGTGCGTACGTGAAATCGCAGCTTATAGGCTGACACCAAAAATTGATATTAAACAAGAGAAAAGAAACATTGGTGAATAGTATAATTATATACAAATGTATGTATGTACATGTAGCCCAGGCGTGAAAGCAGGGAGCAAAAGCGAATCTACACATCTCTGGTTGTTTTTTTTTTTAACCTTTTTTTATTCATCTCACTTTGCTTATATGGATTTCATTCCCCGAACGACCAACACTCATTCGAGATTTTCCTTTATTTCGATCTTTTCATCCGCAGACACCAGCACAGCGTTGAGCAACGTGAGCGTCTCTATACCGTCAGCCGTTAAACGTGGCGATAATGCTATCTTAATCTGCAATTACAACCTGGAATATGACAATCTATACACTGTTAAATGGTATCGCGGACGACGCGAATTTTATCGCTACACGCCGAAAGAGAATCCGGCATTGAAGATTTTCCCTGCTAGCGGCGGATATACAGTGGATGTGAGTATAAAATCAATTTATGCATGTGCTATTTGTATGTACATACATATGTACATATATTTACATACTACAATTATAATTAGGGGATTCACAAGACGTGTTAACCGTCGTAAAATCTTAAGCTTAACACTTGTTTATGTAAAATAGCGGTTAAAATGGTTGGGGGGTTGGCTAATTATATATTCTTTATCAGTTTAAAAGAATTTCGGTTTAGTTAGAAATCCCCTAAAACCATTTTAATTAAAAAAGATGTTAACCTTAAGATTTTACGACGGTTAACACGTCTTGTGAATCCCCTAAATGTATTATGTATTTTGTATTTACAAAAATTAAATGTGAAATATTGTAACAAAGAGTAAGAAATAGGATTCCACAATTATTCACACCAACATATGTATGTACATTCATTAATGTGTGCGTCCTTGCAGACATTGTCGCCGTCACTTATTCAGGACGGTGAAAATTAATTTTCTTTTATTTGCAAATTTAATATTTTTTCACGTTGCTGGTAAATTAAAAAAAAAATTGTATGTATTCTGAAGATTGTTACTTTCTTTAATTTCTTTATATCTTTTTGCTACCGTTGCTCTTGAGCCCAGCAAGTTTCTGACGTACATATGTATGTAGATATGTATTTTTTTGCCTTTATTCGCTCACAATTAATCGAGAAATCTGTAATATAATCAGCCTACATATTTTGCGTAGCATACTTTTTGGCGCACTTACGCTGGATGCTTGGCGGCCAGCATTGAGAATCATTCAAAGGCTTTCGCAAATGCAGCAGAATTTCAGTTTTAATTACATACATATGTATGTATTTGTGCTAGGATGTCGGAAACTTATTCACGATTTATAAACTTCTATTTTTTCGTAATTTTTTAATACGCTTTTAAAGTTTCCTTTCGGAAAGATGCTTTAATATTGCGACTGATCTATTTATGTTTATGATTTTGTTGTTGGTTAAATTGTTGACACTTTTCAGTTGAAATTATTTAATTAAAAGTAAACATTTTGTTGCTCCAGAATACTCTGTTATCATTTAGGAAAATAAAAGTTAATTTCGCAAGTATTTGTCTTTTTATTTTTCATTGCAACATTTCTTATTCGGGTCCCAAACCATGCTCAAATACTTATCTACTTTTTTTCATTTGAATTTCGCCAACACTTTGTACAGTTACATACATACTTCGACCACCAAGCATTCCCAAAAGCATTCGCTTAAGACTTTAATTCATTTGATATGTGCTCATGCCCAGTACTATACTGGACTAACGGACGACTAGTGCTTTTTGGCTTGGTACTGGTCTATGCGTTTTGGAAACTATGGTTAATGCTCTGCGTTCTCTGCTAAAATCTATTTTGCAGTCAAAATTAAAAAGCATTACACTAAACAGATTCAATGTATGTACATACATACATACTTACGAAATCGGCAGCAGTCTCTACAACTTGTTCCGTAAGGCACGCGAAATGATATAAATAGTCATATCGAACTTTCTCTTACACATTGACACCAGCAGGCCCCTGGCTCATAAAAAACCCACAAGAACTCATTAAAATTGCATTATAGTTGCAGAGCAGCCAATTGCAACGCCATACGCATTCCGCATTGTATCAGAATGTATGTAAGTATGTACATAGTTGTACACAAAGACAAAAATTACGATGCTTGAATTTGTACATACATTGCTGTTGCGTACGTACGTATGTATGTCCTTTCATATAGATATGTATGCAAATCTACTTAAATATGCGAGCAAAGAGTTGGGATACACATAATTACAATGAACTGAAATTTATAAATACATAGCATGTGCGGCGAATTCAAGGCGAGCTTATTGAAAATTCCCATGCTACTGAAAAATGTACTCAAAAGAAAGGAGCACATTTCTGCACACTGCATGTGTATACATATGTATGTAAATATGTGCCATATAGGGGCAGCGAAGTGCCAAAGGATACTCCACATCTGACAGCTGTGTTTTAGTACTTACATATACTGTATATTATATTGTAATGGCGCAACTGTGTGCATACTTACAAATTTATATTTATGTGTATACAAAATTACCCACTCGGACTTTCCAAAACCGCCGTTTTTTTCCACTCAGAAATTGTTGGAAAAACATTAAATCTTTAATTAGCTTTTACATGGGCGTGAAACCCAACAAGAAAACCAGATTGTGTAGGGTTTTTGTTTATCCTTATTAACGCTTATTTTGCGAGGTTAAAGAATCACAAAATCCTTATTTGACTACTTTTCCATAAAGAAATTTAATGTATTTAAAACTTCTCATACAGAAATCAGTTCCCCAAGGGACACTCTTTTGAGTTGAATACATGAAATTGTGTTCAAGCAGGCATTTTTATACAACGTTTCATGAAATCATTCTGCTTTCTTCGACTGAGTATATGCTAGGAATGTTAATCCCGGACTTTTTAATTTCTCGAAAATTTTCAGGATTTGTAATTTGCACTGATGGCAATAATAGAAACTGCATTTCTTGACCAGTATTGGCTATATTTCTTTTTTTATTTCATAATTAGTATTTTATTATTATACATATAACACCGCGCGATAAAATTTTAAAAGCAAAATATTCGCGAAACCCTGAGCCAAATATAGTAAAATTGCGCTTTTAGTTTTTCACTCTAACGTCATTAATTGAAAAATGATTTACAAAATTCAGAGAAATGTGCTTAGAGAAGAAGTATGGGTAAAACAGTAATGAGGAAATCCTGCAGAATTTACAGAGATTCAACTTTCCGGTGCAGAAGGGCTGGTAAATATTGAAAATGTCCAGAAAATTTAAATTTTTTAAATTCTAAAGAAATTTTCTGTTGCATTTGTTACCCATATTTTTATTGTACATTGCATTGATTTTTTTTTAACAATTTTTGGAATTAATCATATCTTTGAAATTACAAAGTCCTTCAAAATAAATCCTGCGGTCAGAGAGAAAAAACAAAAACGCCACTTTAAATAAAAAAGAAGGTATCAAACCCATTTATTTATTATTTATTTCATGGTAGGAGAGCTTCTCAAACAATATACCCAGCTAGCACATTTGCCAGACAATTTCTGATATCAGACAAGCCGGAATAAAAAGTTGACTATTTAGACAAGTCTTACAGGTTTCATACAGATTTCTTGGCGAAATGTCTGGATAATTTTATTTATTTCCTCTTCCGATATGTCTGATGATTATTTGGTCAGACAGCTGTTAGATACCCGTCAGAATCATCGGTAATTAAGTCAGAATTTCCCACGTCGTGTCGGTTAGATTTCCTGTCAACCTATCCCTACACTTCTCTGACCGATGTCGGTCAAAGTCATACAGATTTCTGACTTTTTTGCCGACGAGTCTGACGGATATCTAACAGATTTCTGACCATTTTGCTAGCTGGGTAGAAGCAATTTTTTCGATTCAAGTTGTTGAAAAGTAATGAATATCTAAATCCCGGGGCTAACGCCATCCCGAAAATCCTGGGATCGGAAAAAGTCGCAAAATTAACATCCCTAGTATATGCTAAGTTTTTGGTCGAGCTTCTCTTACAACTTGGGGTATTCGTCTTGATGTCTTAACACAAATGGAAGGACCTACAAATTTACTCCGTCTCTGAGCGGCAAAATGGTTTACTGAGAAGTTTTTGCATATCTGAAGTGCACTCGTTGGTTTGCCATTGCCTCCCGAAGGGCGATCGCTTTCTTTTTCCAACCTTTGTTTCGCTTCGACCAGGGATCGTACCTTCATACATATGTATGTATGTATATAAAGGAAGTTCTCGGTTAAAGTATTTGAGGGTGAAGAAGGACGCGGTCAGCTATGTTTGCGGGTGTAATTGTATGTAAATTCCCTAAAGAGTTTTTGGGAAATGATGCTGAAGGGACAGTCCTTGCCCAAGAATAAATCTATGATTACGCATCTCTCTTCGCCGTCAACTAGGTTACGCGTCTCTCTTCGCCGAAGTTTTTCTTAAGCGCCCTTTTTCGCAAAATTTTTGTATGCGTCTTTTTACGCCGCCGGAACACTAGCGCTCCTTTATTCGTGTCTGAGCATTTCATTCTGTCGAAGAAACATGTGATTTTCATTTTGTAAATAGCATGTACCAAAAGTCTTTGTTGTACACATACAACATGTATGTATGTATGTAAATTTATTCCAGAGATTATATATTTATGCAAATAAATTTATTTCACGTTTCTTTATTATTTTGCAGATGTCTGAATCGAATGCTACTCACGTCTTCATCCGTAATCCTACATCTGGTAAATATAGCTGCGAGGTTTCAGCCGATGCTCCATCTTTTGATACATTCTTTGTGTCCGGCGAGATGGAAGTTGTAGGTAAGTCATTAATTGGATACTTAATGTAAAAAGTAAATAGAAATATTTATGCCTATTACGATATCCGACAGATACCATTAGCAAGAATCTAATCCTTCATACTTCGCTTCAGGTTAAGACATTGCCAATCGGATTAGATATGTGCGGATGGCATCCGTTGGATGATTAATTTCAATCCATACTTACGAGCACTTGCGTTGACGAAATTTCATAAACTTTTTTCTCAAATTCCCTCACAGAACTGCCCACACAACGTCCCGTCGTAACAGGTATTCATTCACGCTATCGCCTTGGGGACATTATCAACGGCAACTGCTCGTCGGATTTCTCCAAGCCAGCAGCGAACTTGACATGGTGGATCAATGATATACAGGTAAGATTCGGAATACGATTAGAAAAATTATTTTTAATTTTAGTCTAAGATTCCTATATACTATTTTAGCTATATACAAGTAAGTAAACGGTTTTGGTGATGGTATTCTAAATCTAAACCTATCGCTTGTTACTTTCCGAATGTTCGTCGACAGTTAGCGATGCCTTCAATGAAATTGCTGCTACTCCCTTTACCCTTCTCCATATTCGCAAATGTTTGATGTGTGACATTCAATTACTTCGACATTATTGCACTTTTTATGCCTTGACGTACTACTTCTGCTGCTGCTGTTACACATTTTCATTAAAGTGTCGCATAAATCAAATCAGAAGCGAAAAAAGTTTAATGATTTTGCTGCACTCAGGCTATCCGCCCCCCAAGGAATCTGCAACTCCAATTTTGCTTGGATATACCGACATTGAAACAGCTAAGAGCCAATCAAATTTCACTTGCTTTAGTTGTAGCGACACTCAACTTACGTCAGGCATGCTGAAGGACATCCTTAAGCGAGAGAAGGAAACCCCCGCAAAGAAAAAAAAAATTGCTCAAAAAAATATACTTAATGAATGCTACACTTCTGAAATGCGTCCAATTTCTCCGCTTGTGCTTCTTGAGTAGCTATCGCCCGAAAACATGCACTGCAACTGGAAAAAAATTCAATTTGAAATCAATATTGGCTAAAAGTCATTTTACCAAAATGGACAGCAACTGCCAGCCAACTACTAACAGCATTCCAACAGTCAAACAAATCTAGTGCAGCAACAAAAATACCCAAAATAAAAACTGCAATAGCAGTGGGGAAAAAAAAAACCTTGAAATATTGTTGCCAAAAAAAAGAACACCAAATATAAAACCGAAAGCGAATAGGAACGAAATGAGGAAAATACCAAAACTGTGAACAGATTTATGAAATGTCGAAGAAAATGAAAAGCCAAAGCAGCCGCAAGCGCAAGCTCACACTTGTGTGGGTGTAGCGAGGGATCGGGTGGGGGTCGAGTTCCGCAACTGAAATCCCCGGCATGGTGTCAGAACGTCGAGAGTGGCATATGCTTGCAGGTTTGCCAAAGCTGCTGGACTGCCCACGGCTGACTACTACATTCACACCTACATACATATGTACATAATTTTTACTCACTTTACCGCAAGACATTTAGATTTTTTCTTCCGCAGCTTCGACCCACACAATTCCTTTTTTTCGGCTTATGAGTAAATTTCGTTGCTGATATTGAGAAGTAAACGTTGTCAAGATTGAAGACTGAACATATGTATAAACCAACAAGTTTTTTAGGTTAAATATCGCTGTTTTACTTTGGAGGCAACATATATACATACATACATTAGGCGTATGACTTTTTTAATGAAATGTGTGATCACCTTTATTTACTCCTTTGTGTAGAGGATAAGGAGTGATGAAAACCCGACAAAAATAGTAGTAGGGAGCTTCGAGAAAGTAAAAAATGTATGTATATTTACACTGAAAAAGGGACAAACATATACATTTATTCAATTGTAACCGAATTATGTCTGCGGGTAAAAATTATTTTATCCAGTTTTCTATTTTTTTTTTTTTTTTTTGATTCTGTTGACTTGGAATTTTGTATACAGGTTGTCCCAGACCACCCGTCCGTCCACACCCTCTAAAATGGAGTGAAATCTTTTTATTGGAAAACGCCAAAACATACCCGCCAAATCTTTCGGTGATATAACCGACTTCCGTTTTCGACCGGAAGTGGGGTAAACTGACCGGAAGTATTTTTTTTTTTTTTATTAGGCATACATACATACATTTTTCTACTACTGATTCGGATTTTGAGGATAAAAATAAATACGTAAACTTTGTTTGAACCTTTTTTCTCGGAAGTACCTTTTTCAACCCCTAAGGGCGGGATTCACAGTGCTTAGTTAAACGATTCTTAACTTAACCACCAACAAGAGTTTAACTTTGAATTTATATTCAGAGTTGCATAGTTAACTATGAAAATTCATATCGCCTGAAAATATACAAGTTCTAAATATCGAAACTTTTCTATTCAAATTTGAAATTGGTTCCACAAAAAAAAAATTTAAATTTCACAATAGTTTAAGTGTATACATATATGTATATCAAAATCAATAGTTAAACTTTTGTCAGTGGTTAACTACGCACTGTGAATTTGGCCCTAAATGACCCTCGAACTTACACTCGTTCTGGTTTCATAAAACTGACGATTTTTTTTTTTTGGAAAACGAAAAAATGTAACTCACCAAGTCGGGGATGCTTTGACTTTTGGTTGTATTACCGACTTCCGGTTTCGCCCTGATTTGGGTTGAAGTGACCGTAGGTCGATCTTTTTGAATTGGACTTACAGCGGTAAATTCGGATTCTGCGGACAAAAATACCTCACTTTTGTCGGAAACTGTTTTCTGGAATGGACTTCCGGTTAAAATAATGCACTTCCGGTCTGTTTAACCCACTTCCTGTCGAAATCGGAAGAATGGTAATGGGACCAAGAGATAGATTGGTGATTCATAGTTTCGTCCATTTTAGAAGTCCAGGACGAGTTGAAGTTCGAAGGTCATTCAGAGCTAAAACATATTAATTGCAGAAAAAATTTAAAGTATTTAGGTTAAGAACACTAAATAGCTATCAAATGAAAATATTTATGTAGATACATATATATCGCTCATTCAATAGTGTCATAATACAAAAAATACAAAACTTAAGTTGAGAATGCAGAAATTGTGGCTGTCTCTTCTTCTACCAGTAGCTCACTAGAACAAAATATGTATTCATAATTAATGTTTTACGTTTTTCTCAAGTTTGGTTTTCTTGAGCTATGAATGTACGTACATAAATATTTACGAGTATAAGATTAATTTTCTAAATTTAACACCTACACAAGTTATAATACAATCATAGCATTGAAGGCGGTTCTGCATATTTCTCATTCTTTATGTATCAAGTAGCATCCTAATTGCTAATAATCCGCCATTTTACCTAATACGCATATTATATATGTAAGAAGACCTGTGAGCTTAAGAGTAAATCAGAAGAAAACTTTAATCCAATTAGATATGCATTCAGCTCGGAGTGACTTAATCGACTGCAGCAGAAAGAAGCAAAAGTGAATTTAGAGATGAATTTAAGTAGAAAGCATAAGCTGCAGGTTGGCGAACGGCAGGAGTTTAGTTGTGTTGTTGCTGCTCAGTGAAACGAAATGAAAGTTTATTGATTTATGCATTTGTTAGCAAAGTCAAAATTGAAAATTTCAGATTTTTACTGCGACAACGCCGCAATTTTTATTACAAGTTTTTTTTTTAATGAAAACTACTTCAACTAAATTATGTTTTTTTGTGAACCACACTTGAGCGAAGCGGAAGTTGCACTTGAACGCTCAGTGGCAATGGGAACTTGTAATGCAGGTACCTGGAGCCACTTGAGCGCTGATTGCGATTTCTGTTTTCACTTCCGAGTTACGACGCCGATGACGTCGCTTTCGTTGCGCATACGCCCCTTCCTCTGCGGCCGGTGTGTCAACTCTTGAGCAACTTTTCTGCTTTGAGCGCGTTGAAAATTTGTACACTGAGGGAAAAATATTAAAATCAAATAGAAACGTAATTGATTTTACTATAAACGTCAACGAAAGTACTGTATATTGGTAAATATTCAATTCAATTACGCGCATATTAAAATGACCGCGTTCGTAATGAACAAGCATTCACGGATGCTGATGAGTAATCAAGACAAAAACTAAACAGAAAAAATTTAATTTGCATGTTGCCAGCAGTGGAACTCGAACCCGACCATCTCCGGATATCAACGACTTGTGGCAAGCATCTTTGCGCACTCAGCTACACCCAGCCATATAAATTTGCTTTCAAATGTTGAATATCCATCAACATCACAGCACGCGATTTGTACTATGTATGTATGTGTGTGTTGTCACCGCTCTCAGAGCGGCGCTCTGCATGCTTGGTGTGCGTAGCCTGTGGGGAAAATCTCTAGTTTTGAACTGGTGCGCTTCTAGTACATTTAGAACCACTACTAGTTCGCGATAAATCTCTTTTGCATGCAAACAACTAACGAATTTAACACAGCGATGTCATAGGAATTGGAAATTGTCCCCCGTTGCATTACCATTTCTATAGTTCAGAACCAGTCCTAATAAATTCGACATATAGGATCTAGTTCGCTTTGCACCCCATTTTCTAGTTTCGAACCAGTTGTAGACGAAAAAAGTAACAAGATGTTTTCTTTTTGGGTTACCATTGTAGCAATTTTTAACTATTTGCAGATAAATGTATTTTCAATCTGAAATCAAATTTGTTTGAATGAATGTAAATTAAATTGTGCATTTGAAAACACGTTGTAGCTGAATTTGCAGAGGTGCTGTAGCTGAATTTGCAGAGGTGCTGACTGTTATTGGTTAGATTCCAGACGGCCCCAAGATGTTAATATGTTAACACAAAGCTTTGTTTTGTATTACCAAACTATGACAAAGCATCTGCGACGTGCAGACTGAAAGCGTATTTGAACGAAAAAACCCGCCGCAGCAAAAGTCTATTTAAAGTAAACAAGCCCCCCGCTGCATCCCCTTTTCAGTAGTTTCGAACAAGTTCAAAATTCGCCAGATGAGATCTAGTTCGTTCTGCATCCCTTTTTCTATAGTTTTGAACCAGTTCTAAATTCGTCATTTTAAATATAAATTCCTAAAATTGTTTTTTAAAAGTACCACATATCGCTGCTTTTGAACTGGTGGCGATTCAGTTACTATCGGACTGGTTCGTTTTTGGCGATAAAGATCTAGTACAGAACTACAAATTTGGTTCACCAGTTCGGGGTTTCCCTACACTTACATATAAATACTCAGATGGGAACAGTCAAATACGTGCGTAATAAATTTTGTATGAAAATATTATTTTTAAATACGAACATTTTTAAACGATAATCAAATCTAAAGTATTCATTTTTACTATGCATTATTTCCCTCAGCGTATGTATAGCACACACTTATGTATGTACATATATACCTCTGCGTGGTTGCATTTACTGCTTTCGCTGCTTCACTTATTATGTACGCATACAGACACACATTTAACTACATACATACATACATACATACATATTTACAATAGTTTGCTCTGCGCAAGCAGAAATTCCCAACTTTACGACTTTGCTCGCAAATCAACAGAAAATTCGTTCATTTCTGGTTTTTTATTCGAATATCTTCCTTTTTGTGACTTTGCCAAGTGTCACTTGCTCACAAGCGTGCACATGCAAACTCTCTCCAACACACTCACACATACATACACTTTTATTCTTTGCGCATAAATGTGCAGCTTCCTGCGGGCGTTTGTGTGTCGAGTTGTCGAGTAGTCGAAATTACATCGCATTAGGTGGGCGTCATTCTTTTGGAACTAAGCTACGAATAAATGGGTGGAAATTACATAACCTGCCATGTCGTATAAGTGACAAAGTTGTTTCTGAGTAGAGCGTATAGCGAGATAGTGGTATTTTTTGAGTTAAAGTTGCAGCGATGCTAACTGTTTTGCTGCAATTTGTTTTTGTTGTAAATAGTTTAAAATTTAAATAGCAACGGTCTGAAATTTAATACATATCTTTTGATATTTTGATAAGCGAGTTAGCGAGATTAGCTATTTTTATCGCCAGCTTATATTTGTTGTGTTTACTTATCTTAGTTTTATGCTTAAGACTCCCATTGATCTTCTATTTTATCAGGCGCCACCTCATGCTACACGCACATTTGGCATTCAGCGTCACTTTGCAGAAAATCTCGAATCCGCTGTGCTGGAGATCAATTTCATTGTCACACTGCAGCACTTCATCAAGGGCCGACTAAAGGTATTATTCAAAATCATATTTAATAATCTAAAAACTGGTTAAATTATTAATAAATTATTCACTTTTAATTCTCCATCCTCATAGCTCAAGTGCTCCGCCCGCATTTATGACATTTATGTACAAGAAGCTGAAAAGCTTATCGAAGAAGATCGTCCACGTATATTGGCCTCGGGTCGTTCACCCGAACTGAATATGTACCCATTTGATCACTTGCCAGATGCGGAAGGCTTCGATGAACATAACGAGTTATATTTGACGCATTATACAAGTGAGTAATAATAATTTTCTTTCTTGTTTTAAACTAAGACCTGCATAAAATTCCAGACTCCTTTAAAATTTTAGTGAATTAAGACCAAGCTTTGAAGAAAATACCGTGTTCTTCAGTTCAGTATTCTTAGCAGCAGTTCGCACTTTAATTTCTTAATTTTTTTCGGCTTCTGTCTCTGTTATTTATAGTTGTACCATGCACTACAACCACACTTACAAATTATTGCTTTAACACAGTAGTTTCCAGAATACCTGTGTGTACATTAGGGTGGATCGACAAAAAAAGTTTTTCCAGTCCACCCCTAGGATTAAAGATATTTTTAAGGCGGTCCCAAAAATCATTTTTTCTTTTGCCACGCCCCCCCGATGGGCTATTTACTTTTTTTGACACTACGTCGCCATTTTAAGTCCGATTTTAATGAGCCGTACACCGTTGTTCATGGCTTGGAAGCCGCCACAATTATTACCTTAATCATTTTTTAGAAAAAGTTTCACAGAATTTAAAGGCCTTTTCGACAGACTAAAAAAAATTGGAATTTAGGTATGATGTGAAACGAGATACCGACAGTCACTACTAGAATTTGAACTCGGAGTAAAAAATGATTAAGGTAAGAATTGTGGCGGCTTCCTAGCCATGAACAACGGTGTACGGCTCATTAAAATCGGACTTAAAATGGCGACGTAGTGTCAAAAAAGTGAATAGCCCATCGGGGGGGGGGGGGGG